TTTTGGAAGAGGGTCTTCAAAGTTCTAATCAAGTTGAGATTCAGCCATATTGGATTGGAATGGGCACAAATCCACAAATGAGTGTCCTTAGAAGAGAAAACAAACACATGTGCGCGCACACACACACACACACACACACACAGAGAGAGAGAGAGAGAGAGAGAGAGAGAGAGAGAGAGAGAGAGAGAGAGAGAGAGAGAGGAGAAGACCTTGGAAAGAGGATTATAGAAGCCACAAATTGAAGACACAAGATAAGTAACACCACCAATTACTGTAAGCCCCAGAAATAGTTAAGAGAGTTGAATGAATTCTTCCTTAGGATATCAAAGGAATGGCTCTACCAGTACCTAGATTTCAGATGTCTGTCCTCTGGAACACAAAAGGATATATTTTGTTGTTTTGAGCTGTCTATTTGGTGGTGATTTCTTACACCACCCCAAGGAACCATGCACACTAATGTCTAATAGGCATGTTGGATTTTATTGAAATGAAACTCCTCTTCAGTGTTCTCTAGAGGAACAGAAGTGAAAGGATGAGTATCCACATTAACAGGGGATTTATTAGAGTGACTTACAGGCTGTGGTCAGGCTAGTAGAACAGTAGCTCTCTCCCTTTAGAAAGGTCAAGAATCTGGTAGTTGTTCAGTTCACAAAGCTGGATGTCTCAGCTGATCTTCAGTCTAAGTTGGAATTCCCAAGAAGTAGATTCTAACACCAGCAAATTGCTTCAGCAGCAGGATATATGAACTTGCTAACTAGAGTGAGGGCAAACAGGCAAAAAGCAAAAGCTTCCTTTTATGTGGGATTACCCCACAAGATGCAGCCCAGATTTAGGGTAGATCTTCTGACTTTAAGTGATCTAGATTAGGGTGGATCTTCCCACCTCAAATGATCAAATCAAGAAACTCCTCCACATGTGTGCCTGGATGCTTTTGTTTTAGTTGATTTCAAATGTAGTTAAGTTGATAACCAAGACTAGTCATCACAATTACACTAACTCCTCAGATCAGTGCACAATTTAAAACTCATAGATTGCTTATTTCTTGAATTTACCATTTAATACTTTTGGATAATAAATTTATGATAAGTAGAAACCTCAATACAAAAACTAACCAAAACATCAAATAGTAAAATTCAACATAGTATCCTAAAAGCAACATTATTTTTTAAATCTGAAATGTCCTCATAGGCTCCTAGGGGAATGGCTCCATTCTTGGCATTTTCCAGCTAGTTAACACCTGAGTTATGGGCTCAACTGGCAAGATTGGCCTAAGGGATTCATCCAAATCAGGTACCCAGCCTCCTTTCTCCCTAAATTGCATTGCCTAGCATTGTATGACAGCCTGACTGCCGGTCCCTTCTGCATCCCTTCTCAAACCCACAGCATCATAGTCTTAGGACCTCTACTTTCTCTCTTACAAGAACATGGGATGCATGAAGGACAGCCATCAGTAGGTCTGATCAGTGTATACTCTAGTCTGCCTTTCTATTAGGTTTGCTAAGGACGCATGTGCCATACATATCACACCATGACCTGGATAAGCTGTTATCATGAAAGAATAAAAACTGTCATTGAGTGCCACGTGATTCAAAACCTTAGTCCCACAACTTTGGTATCTGTACATCCTTGTTTTAGAATTACTTTATGTTGATCAATTGGTCATCAACTGTAGTAGTTCCAGTGTGTTGCCATTTGTCTTATATATGCATTAATATTGTACTATTTTATTTTTAGGTTAGTTTTTGTGTAGTAGTTCTATCTATCTATGGTTTTAATTATTTGTCTAAATGTACTAAATGTCAAATTCCAGAAATAATCCTTAAGCTTTAACTTGTGTACTGATCCGAAGAAGAGTGTAATGAAATCTTGGGCGGTCTCACGACATCTCACCTGGCCTTGAATCATTCATTTGATCAGTGTATCCATTCTGTATATGCTAGTCACTATCTAGTCACTTAGTAGCTACCAGGGTTATTAAATCGGCTGTTGAGGTGCTGCAGTGTTGGTATTCCAGGGACCCTACTATGTTACGGTGGAAGTTGTGGAGGCTATTTCACAACATCCACCCCCATTCACTGTGCTCCATCTCATCACCTAGGTAGTGCATCATCTTAAATCATCATCATCACCATCAGAAGAAGAAGAAGGAGAAGAAGGAGGAGGAGGAGGAGAAGAAGAAGAAGGAGAAGGACAACAAGAAGAGTTTGCTGTGCCACATCTAAACACCGATGAACTGAACTCCTGGAACCCAGCTGCAGAAAGGGAGGAGTGATGAGAATAGGGACCAAGACCAGGCTGGTGATACCCACAGAAACAGCTGACCTGAACAAGCGGTAGCTCATGGACCCCAGACTGGTGGCTTAGAGGCCAGCATGGGACTTATCTAGACTTCCTAAATTTGGATGTCAGTGAGGAGGCCTTGGCAATCTATGAGGCCTTGGGTAGTAGATCAGTACTTATACCTGGCATACGAATGGACTTTTGGAGCCCATTCTACATGGAGGGATACTCTCTCATCCTGGACACATGGGGGAGGGCCTAGGTCCTGCTCTGGATGAAATGTCAGACTCTGGAGATCCCCCCATGGAGGGCCTCACCTTCCCTGGGGAGCAAGGTAGGAAATAGGTGGGGGGTTGTGGGGGTTGGAGGGGGCGAGGGAGGAGGGGAGGGAGAGGGAAGTGGGATTGACATGTGAAGCAAGCTTGTTTCTAATTTAAATTTAAAAAATGAAAAAAGAGTTTGCTGCAATGAGATATTATTTTAGGAGTGGAGTATTCTGTCACTGTTCCCTTTTAATTGAAACATTCCATCTTGACGAATGGAAAAACTGTGAGGATCTTGAATTCACGAGAAACCTGCAAGACTTAGGAATCTCATAAAACTTACAAGGCTCATGAGATTCCTCCCTGAGCTTCTATAAGCAGTAGACAATTACTGAAGAAGATAAGAGTAGTGTAGATGTCTGCAAGTTGTACAGCAGAGTCCAGGTTTCAGGAGTGTCACCTATCCTGGAGTGTCTTTTGTTAATGAAGCTTCTTGGTCCCCTATGTTCCTGTAAGTAATCCCAATAAACTCACTAGCTCTGCAAGCTGACTTTAAATGCAATTATTTTCTTTGGTTTCTCATTGCCCTTACTGTATGAGATGACTAGAAACAGTCTCTTTGGGGGAAAATGTCAAAATGTAGATGGAGGCTATAGGGGGCATGTTCTCATAAATTGTATTACGTGTTGATACACATGTTCCCTTGTATTGTTAGTTGTTATTAATCTCTTTCTGTGCCTAGTCTGTAGTTAGTTTCCTCACAGGTATGTTTATATAGAAAAATAGCACATTTAGGGTTCAGCGTTACCTGTGGGTTCAGGTATTCTTTGGGGTCTTGGAGAATATGTGTCCTACATGTAAGGAGCAACCACTGTATTTAAAAACTGACTGTAGCTTCTGGAAATCTTTTGTTTTACCTTTTTCAGCCTCACTCTACACAGTGGGCCTGTCAAGATGTCTGATTGCTACGTTCTATAGCTCTGGATGAACGAATGATGTCTAACTAGATCACCATCAGAACTTTTCAAGTTCATTCTTAGATGATTAGCCTAAGTAACTGCTCCTCTATCAGTCGCTCAACAGCAGTGGAAGGGTGTCCCTTCTATGTGTCACTTGGGGCCACCAAAAACATTGGTAGTTTCACTTGCTAACAACTTAGTCTCATGAAAATTCCAGCTTGGTAAAGCATTAAAAATGTTACTCTCCCCCACAGTACCCCACCAAGTCCTACTTAATATATGATAAAGCCTTCTGGAATGTTTCCAAAGATCTCTGGTATGTTCCTCGTTGCAGAAAGCTGAGGCTGTACCCACCTCCAAAGTGGACCCCTTCCTTCAACTTTCAGTCATTCAAACTCATCACATTCTTTCCTTGGGCAAAATGGACCCAGAAATACCGTGAGCATTAGAGCAAAGTCAGAAAGTCGGCATCTTAACATCGCCGATTTAGGCACCAGCCAGAGTGGGAAGCTGCCCACCCCACCCCCGCCCCCACCCCCACAAACAGTTTTCTAGTAGAAAGGTTAAAGGAAGGAGAGGCTGAATGTATTAACTGTCTCCTTGGCCCCGCTGCTGCCTGACTTCCTTTGGGCTCAGCAGACGGTATTAGGCGCCAGACACACATGCACGGTGCCATTTGCGAAGTCTGTGTTAAAGTTGACTTAATTAGGAGGGTTTACCTCAAATACATGCTTAAACGGATTCTCCTAGTGGTGCAACATTCTCATCTACTGCCTATTGCTATGCTGAAGAAAGAGATGACGAGCACAGAAAGTAGGCAGAGGCTCTGAAGTCGTGTTTACATGCATTGATGTGCAGCAGAGAAAGAAAATGGGACTGGGGTCGAGTGAACTCCTGTAGGATAAATAGAGATAAATAATTCAGACTCTCATTATCATAGAGGCATATAGCTCCAGTGCATGGGAGCATCCTGCCTTTGTGAGAATTGGTATGCAGAAGGTATTCAGAAACTATAGCGTGTAATTTAGCATTAATATTAACATAAATCCAAGGCAGGAATTAGCAATATTTCTAAAGTCTTATAGGATAACTGAATTCACACTATATTGTTTAGTCCTCCTGGGCATTTTTAGTAATCGGATAATAGAAATGTTGAAGTAGTTGAGATGTTCTTTATATTGCTCTATGAAAAGATCTTAACACAATGTCTTTAGTAGACAGTTTTGATAGAATGTGTTGAACAAAAAAGAAATATGCCTATTTTGGTTATATGGGTATGTTTCATTAGCTCAGCCTGCAGCGATATGACATTACATTCTAAAAGGAATACAATTAATAACAATGAGAGTTTTTTTTCCTCAAAGAGTGTAGCTGGAGTGGTTGAGCACGATGTCAGGGCAATTAAGTCGAGGCACTGCATTACCTTTGTCTGAACACCGGCAACATCGCCCTGTCTCAATGTGTTGAATAGTTATTTCTTTAGAAGAGAATTTGTCCACACTATTAATGGGCATAATTGTGAGGTGAAAAAGGCTCTTTCTAAACAAGAGATGCAGTCTGCTGGATCACAGAGAGGTCGTGGAGGTGGATCTGGTAACTTTATGGGTCGTGGAGGAAACTTTGGAGGTGGTGGAGGTAATTTTGGTCGTGGTGGAAACTTTGGTGGAAGAGGAGGCTATGGTGGTGGAGGTGGTGGCAGCAGAGGTAGTTATGGAGGTGGTGATGGTGGATATAATGGATTTGGAGGTGATGGTGGCAACTATGGTGGCGGTCCTGGTTACAGTAGTAGAGGAGGCTATGGTGGTGGTGGACCAGGATATGGAAACCAGGGTGGTGGATATGGTGGTGGTGGAGGAGGATATGATGGTTACAATGAAGGAGGAAATTTTGGTGGAGGTAACTATGGTGGTGGTGGTAACTATAATGACTTTGGAAATTATAGTGGACAACAGCAATCAAATTATGGACCCATGAAAGGGGGCAGTTTTGGTGGAAGAAGCTCAGGCAGTCCCTATGGTGGTGGCTATGGATCTGGTGGTGGAAGTGGTGGATATGGTAGCAGAAGGTTTTAAAAAAATACAGCAGAAAAGGGCTACAGTTCTTAGCAGGAGAGAGAGCGAGGAGTTGTCAGGAAAGCTGCAGGTTACTTTGAGACAGTCGTCCTAAATGCATTAGAGGAACTGTAAAAATCTGCCACAGGAGGAACGATGATCCATAGTCAGAAAAGTTACTGCAGCTTAAACAGGAAACCCTTCTTGTTCAGGACTGTCATAGCCACAGTTTGCAAAAAGTGCAGCTATTGATTAATGCAATGTAGTGTCAATTAGATGTACATTCCTGAGGTCTTTTATCTGTTGTAGCTTTGTCTTTCTTTTTCTTTTCATTACATCAGGTATATTGCCCTGTAAATTGTGGTAGTGGTACCAGGAATAAAAAATTAAGGAATTTTTAACTTTTCAAAAAAAAAAAAAAAAAAAAAAAAAAAAGAAGAGAATTTGTAATTTATTTTGATGTTTCCTATAATTCAGACCACTATTATAAAAATGATTTTTTTCAGGTAAGAAAAAATCTTTTAAAATAACTAGGCAGTAGAAATTAACATTTCTTTCAATTGGCATAGATTCCACTATTTTTTTTCTGGAAGGGAATAAATGGCTGTGAGGAAAACGCACACGGTAACTTCTGGGGATTAAACTGAATCACATGATCCTGTTGGTAAAGCAGGGATGTATAGAACAACCAGGCGTCTGTGGAGTCCATGCCCTGTGCAAGAGCAATCCAGAGGGAAAGTTGTACTTTGAGACTATTAAAATAATCACCCAGGGTATTATTTTATTCAGTATTAACCTTTATGTTTTATGTTAAATGACAGTGAAGGTTCTGGAGCATGGTGATTCCCCTGAGTCGCAGTAGCTGAGATTTCTTTTATCTCTAAAGAGATTTTAATCCATTCTGCGATGTTGGAACTGCTCTTGCTTCCCTTCACTGGTCAGTTTTAATAGGCGTGACAAAAGATAAAATGTGTTGAAACATGAAAACTCTGCTTTTTAAAAACACATGATGGAGAAGGTTCTTTAAAATCCCATTTCTGGGGCTGGAGAGATGTCTCACCTGTTAAAGGCTAGGCTCACAACCAAAACCCCATTTCTGTATGCCCAGTCTGGCTCAAGCTTCCAGCGCTATGGCAGCAGGGGTTGGGGGGAAGGGAGGCAAACAAACCCATCCATCATTTCTGCTCACCCAGGTTTAGCCTGATGGACTTGCCTTGGTGGACATACAGAGCTGTAAGCAGGTATCTAGAAATGCCACTGTGAGTCTGGGCCTTCAGGTATTAATACCCAACTCTATTTCCACTCATGAGTGATGTATTAAAATGTTGTAAGTAATAAATTGTTAATCTTAGAGGCTCTAGGTGATTTCTTACTCACACAGAGACTTAGTTAATGTAACACCCAGATCATCGCTCTGACCGCCTGTTCCTTTCTATGTTATTCTCCCTAGCCTTCCAAAGGCAATCAGCTCCATTGCCAACTCCCACTGTCTGTAACCACTGCTTAGTTCCTGCATATATGCAGACGCACACACCTCTTCAGACAATTAAATCACACCAAACTGCTAGGGGACAGGAGGCCTCCATGTGTTATGTGAGCAGCCCCCCTCCCCTCCTAAGTATTATTGACAAATCCATCAAGGGCAGTGATGCATTGGCTTCCACCTTACCTAGAAGGACACTAGGGCAACGGTGACATGCTGTCACCGTGGTAACTGCGGTTGAAGTGAACAGCCTGTTAGGATAGGTGACCTCTGTTGGCAGTGAGCCTAGAGATGTAGCACTCACCCGGCTGCCATGTCATGGGGACCCCAAGGAACAGCCCAGTGCCCTCAAATTGATTCATTAGGCCCTAAACGTATCGATCGCTCCAATTTGCAGGAATTTATTATATTGATATTGGACTGATTAACATTTTGTGCCAGACTGGTTCGATATGTGCTTGTAACAGCTTTTAATGATTAATTGACTTTTATGATTCCATCTCAGGGCTGTCAGTGAGCTGTGAACTGTGGGCAGGCTTGTTCCTTGACTGTCTCTCCAGTGGCACAGGGCAGTGATTGAATACCTAGGAAATTAGTGTCCTTGCTGTCTCATTTTATGAAAGATAAATGCTATGACATTTAATGCAGACCTTAATTTAGAACAGAACTAAGCAGATCATTTTGCAATTTAATCATAAACAGGTAAATATCAAAACTTGTTTAGCATTTTACAAGTTAAGCACACAGAAAACGGAGGCAAAGTAGAGAAGGCGACGAGGGAGCCGACAAGAGGCAAAGTAAAATAACGTGGGTTGGAACTGCACAGCAATTTAATAATCACATAATTTATTAGGGGCAACATTCGAGCCCATTTTTCAGCCCAGAATATACTGCTCTCATTCACTCGGTGGCGAGCCCAGGGCGTGCCGCTTGGCACAAGCCGTAAAGTTAGCATTTACCTTCAGGGCTGCAGACAACCCTGCAATATTGCCTGGTGAGTCGAGGAAAATACATTGACTGATTTGCCACAAAAGTAAATAGCAGAAAAAGGGACAGGCTCCAGTTTAATATGTGCCCCTGACATGTAATAAGGGGAATATCGCATTCAGCGTGGTTTATGTGTTACCTAAAACAACCATAAACATTATGAAAAGACGGCAGGAAAAATGAGATTTTATTGTGCTCGCTAACAACAGAGAGAGAGAAAGAGAGAGAAGGAGGAGGAAGGCTGGGGGATGCCAACTCACACCTCTTGCATTCATATTTAAAGCATATTTTCTGCCTTTCATTTTAATTAAAAGACTTAAGTTAGGGAGAAACTGTCTAAACATCATGTCAAATTATTCATGTTTGTACATATAAGGAATGAGATGAAATGGTTCCGTGCACGCTTCTCCCTTTACTGTTGATTATTTTTCTTCCTTGCTGTGCAGAGTGAGGACACCTTTATCTGATGTGAGGTTGTCAGGCGATGCATAAGCTAACCATTTGCAGTGTACATATTTCATGGCCCTCATCTGGGGTCTGCTCAATCCATAGCCATTTTCTTTGCTCCAGTTCTACAATCTTGAAAAGGATTGGAAAGTCACCCAGCCTGCTACCCGCTACTACAGAAACATCCCTAAACATCTTGAGGCTTTGATCACTTCTAAGTGGAGTCCAGGCTGTCTCCCTACCTCCCTCACAATCTGGGCTTTCAATCTAATTCACTTCTACTTAAGTTTGGAATGATGGCCATTTTTTTTTCTGCGATTCTGGTGTGGCGGTAAGAATAAATTAACTGGACTCCTGACTATCTGTGTTTCTATACTTCTGTACACAGCCCTGCAGTTGCATACATGCACACACACACACACACACACACACACACACACACACACACACACACCAGTCTTTGAATACATGCACCTTATGGTGAGGCATTACTGTATAGCCCAGGTTGTGAGCCATGATTACCATCAGTAGCCCTTGCTTATGAAAGGCACCGCCATTCCCCTGTTCCGTGCCTGCCACCCAGTAAGGTGCCCCCGTCCGAGGTGGAGCTCAGAAAGCACCAACACCCCCCTTTTGTTGAATCACACTCCCAAACAGCAGAAGGCATTTTCAACATCTGCCCTTCCTTTGATTGGACTCAGGTCTTCTCCCTATGGGGACATTCTTTTCTGAGACATCTTCAACAGGCTGGCATCATTTCCTTATACTGAGTGAAAACTCGACGTGGCCCATTTTCATCTGGCCCAGCCCCACACAAACAGCCAATAGGCTGTGGCACAGCCCATGTAAATAGTCTGCAGAGAGATGTGTATCCTGAGGAAGGAGCTGCCTCTCCGCATTGCACCAGCATACTACATGCCCATGTGCAGAGGGAAGGCAGGGGTTGCTTTCCAACCGTTCCCTTTACTGGTGGAAAAGACCAACCTTTCTTGCACCCACCCCTGCAGCCTCCGCTACATCTGCCCCCCCCCTTTTTCTTATTGCACCACAAGCGGCCCTTGTTTCCCACAGGCTGAATGACTGAGAGTTTTTCTTGAGACTCCTGCTGCAGGTCATGATAGCAGTGCTTTAGGAGGTGGGACTACTTGGAGGAAGTGTTCCACCACCCACACCATGAGTGAAGGGAGTGTGTACGAGTCCTGAGTGGCTGAGAAAGAAGGAAGAAGGTTCTGGATACAAATTTGCACTACTCCCCATGATCCCAGAAGTGGAAGGCGTGTGTAGGGAGAGAAAACAGAGGTGTTCTTCATTGTTGGAAAAGTATCTTCCTGTATATTAATCTAATATACAGGAATATACAGCTGCCGATTCAAGCTGAGCGAAGGCTGTGCTCGGCCCTCGTTCTGTTGAATAGAAGGTGTGTGATACAAACGCACAGGGAGACCTCACAAGCAAATTGCAGATCCACTGTGTTGGTCCCGACAGTTTCCCTCACCGTTTTCGTGTCTCATGAGCGTCACACGCTTGTCCTCCCCTTCATGTCAGAGCCCCGATCTCTTCACCTGGACACGATGCACCTGCTTCAGTCCCCAGCATTCGTTTCCCAGGGAGAGTTCCAAGACTCAGAGAACACACTCTTGCCTCTTCTTTCCAATCACTAATCCAGTACCTTTCTATACCCATTGTTTTCTGGTTCTGCTGTCAGCTGTGAGGCTTATTATTATCAGAAATTCTGTGATAAATTTAACAGTGGAAAAAAGTAAGGATTTCCCCCCCCCAGTGGACAGATGGAATATATTATCTCCTATTCTTTGCCTATTAATCTTCAAAATCCTTATCTTTCAGTAAACATTTTAATTCAGGCAAAGAAAGGTACACGGGTAGGAGATATCTTACTTCAAATTTAGCATCTAAGGAAAACATTCAAAAGCAAAACCCAACAAAATCTAGAGTTCTTAATTTTTAAATATTTATTTTTAGGGACTGGAAAGATGGCTCAGCAGTTCAGATTATTTTCTGCTCTTGTAGAGGACCCAGGTTCGATTCCCAGCACATGGTGATTCATAACCACCAAGTTCCAGGGAATTTGGTGCTCTCTTCTGACCTTCAGGGGTACCAAACACAGATGACATGGTACACATACATACATGCTTGCAAAACACTCACACATTAAATTAAAATGTAAGTCAAATTTATAAAGATTTTAAAAAGATTTATTTGTGGCTGGGCAGTAGTGGTGCATACATTTAATGCCAGTGCTTGGGAGGCAGCCTGAGACAGGCAGATCTCTGAGTTTGAGGCCAGTCTTGTGTACAGAGTGAGTTCCAGGATAGCCAGGGCTACACGGAGAGACCCTGTCTCAAAAAACAAAATGCAAACCAACCAAACAAAAAGATTTATTTGTATTATTTGTGTGTGCGTGCATGTTATTATTATGTGGTGCCCCACAAGCAAGTCCAAGGTACTGGGAAATGAAAGACAAGA